CTCCGCAGCCTTCTAATTTCGAACCCAATCCAAAAGACAAGAGAACGTTCGTATCAAATATTGGGAGAAATCTGTCTTCGAGGAGGACTTTTTTATAGGACTAACTATTTGTGTTACATGGAAAAGAAAACTATGAAAACCTCCTATGATTAGCCTAATTACAAAGAGATTCTAAGCCATGATCCGTCTACCACTGAAGATATTTTACGTCATCACTGTGATCGGCGAGAGACAGATGCGGACTTCGTATTGACCTTCCATCTCTGGGAATCAAACCCAGGTCACCACATTGGGCGGTGAGTGCACCATCCCCTCTAATTTGCTTTATTTATCATATTTAATCAGTTCATATTGTGAACCAACTACTAACTTTTTTACAGTAAACGAACAATTGCTAAACACGAGTTTGTTCATCACCTCCTACATCAGAAAGTCTCCATACGGGTTTTTAAAAGAAGTCTGCGCAGACTATTTAAAAAGTGAACCAGTTGTGCGCATGAAACCTAATCCTTTTTTGAAAGTATTATTGGTTTTTATTGAAATTACATACATTTGCTGACTTGTGTGCTCAATATAGGCTTATAAGTCATTGTCAAGTAGAAAATACAGATAGAACAATTCAGAGAGAGACATCACGAAGAATACATCCAAGGTTACGGCGGGATTCGAACCCGCTACCTCCACGCTTAACAGAGCGTTTGGACCGACGATACCGCTCGGCCAGGGAGGCCCCTTTTTTTTAAAAGTAAATGAGAGAAGTTTATCATATATATTAGAGAATTGAATCTGTAGTGGTTGACAAGTGAATAAGACAAACCAAACATATTCATAAATTGAACGAAATTTTAGAGATATATTTGCTACCATGGTTTTATTTTTACTAAATTTTCCACTAAATGGCTCTTTCCTAAACTGGCATGTCTTCATAGTGCTCAGATCGGACTACCTGTAAAAAACGGCGTGGAGGCTTTCAGTTGTACGAGGCGTTTATTTGTAACGCCTTTCTTTCAAACATTTTGTTGCTGGTTTGTGGTTGAAGAAAATTGCTGAGCATACCTGACTGATATTGAGTTTTGATATTAGCACAGAAATAAATTTCTCACACAAATACTTGAATATCGATTTTTCTAATTATTTCTAAGCATATTCTAAAGATGATTTCTGAACACATTTGTAAGCTCATAATGGTTTATGACACCCAATACAAAATATAGCTTAATCACACAAATATTTTTATACAGATCTACGCACACCTAAATCAGAGTGATTTGTGACATCTGAAATAAACAAATAAATAATTCTATGACCCAAATAATCTGATACTGATTTGTAACTAAAGATAATTTCTGAACTTACCTGACTTAGATTCTTCTGCAATGAATGCTTGAAAAAAGAAAAAAAGAATATATATATATATAAATAAATATATATATATATATATTTATATATTCTGTTATTATTGAGAAAAAGAGATTTTAACTGGCGCAATTGCTTTCAATATTATGATATAAGTATAAAATGATTAAGCAAAACATTAAATTACCCAAACTAAGATTCTATTTCATTCAATTCAATTTTTTTTATTTATTTCACTCAAATTTTTATTTAGATTTGAGATTTCAAATTTTTATTTAATCATGAGAACTCGCATATTTAGATCATTCAGACTCCGAATTTAGCTTAAAATATCATATCTAATGAGAAAAGGTAAGCTCTTGAGAGAGAAGTTTTATTTTAAATAATACTTTGCATTAATTAAACATATTCGAGAAACATTTTTAGAGCATTGAAAATTACAGTTCCTTATGTGAATGTCTGATCCACAAATCCGAAGTTTTTCAAGGATTTTCAAACTAAAAAAAACCTTTATGCTTTTCATCGACTTTGAGTTCTTACGCTACCTACATATTCAAAAACTATATCTTAATTATTGAACTTTCATCATATATTTTTTTATAGTTGTCTGTGGCAATATTTACTCATATTTTGAATACTTAATAATAAAATCTGGTATCCTCTTTTGCTATCATCAGTACGTCCTACTATATATTGTATGACGAATAACATCAAATCTTTCATCATTTTAACAATATAAGATTTTAAAAAAAAGTTAATTAAAGCTTTTTTTCCAAAGTACGAGCGTTTTGTTTAATTAGAAGTATACAAATATGCATCTACCTGTTGATGGTATTAATAACGCTCCCAGTTGAAAGTAATTCAGAATGCTATCTATGTTTTGAGTTTTTCTAAAAAATATTTTATTTTTTACTAAATTAATTTATTGTTTTTTAAAAAAAGTTTTTTTCACATTCTACCGAAATCCTCATAGTGCAGAAATTTATTTCGATATTTATGAAGCATAAAAACAAGGTATCATTATTTTTCATTAGCATTCATTGGTAAATATAAAATTGGGAAATGTGTTTTAGCATTTACTTAC